GTTTCTGGCTATGGGAGCCTGGAAGAGCAGTGAGGATGCGAGCTGTATGTGGACCACGACAACAGAGTGTATTAGAGTAGTTACGAGAGAAAGGGTCTTGAAGGGTTTCTCTAGTGGCCACAAAGGTATCTGGTGGTGGAGTGAAGGGGTACAAGAGAAAGTGGAGGCCAAGAAAGCGACATACTTGAAGCTTATAGAGAGCATGGACGAGAAGGCGAAGAGGATGAACAAGGAGGGGTATAGAAGGGCTAAGAAGGAGGCAAAGTTAGCGGTTATTGCGGCAAAGACTGCAGCGTATGGGCATTTGTATGAAGAGCTTGGGGCCAAAGGCGGGGACAAAAAGATACCCAAGGTGAGGGAGAGGAAGGCCCGTTATCTGGATCAAGTAAAGTGCATCAAAGATGAGGAAGGTAGAGTTTTGATGTAAGAGGCTCAGATTAGGCGAAGGTGGCAGACATACTTCCATAAACTCCTGAATGGAGAGGGTGATAGAAACATTGTGATAGGAGATTTGGAGCACTTCGAGATTCGCCAATATTTCGAGTATTGTAGGCACATAAGAGTAGATGAGGAGGGGGTGGTTATGCGCAAGATGCACATGGGTAGAGCAACCGGGCCAGACAAAATACCTATGGAATTTTGAAAGAATACGGGTAGGGCAGGTTTGGAGTGGCTCACTAGGCCGTTCAACGTTATTTTTAAGACAAAGAAGATGCCCGAAGAATGGAGGCAGAGTACGATGATTCCCCTGTATAAGAACAAGGGTGATATCCAAAGTTTCAATAATTATATGGGGATCAATCTGCTGAGTCATACGATGAAAGTTTTGGAGAGGGTGGTTGAAGCCAGGGTGAGGAGCAGTATGTCCATTTCTGAGAACCAGTTCAATTTTATGTCGGGGAGTTCGACTATGGAAGCCATTCACCTTGTGAGGAGATTGGTGGAGTGGTATAGGGAGATGAAAAAGGATTTCCATATGGTGTTCATTAACCTAGAAAAAGCTTATGACAAAGTCCCGAGAGAGGTTCTTTGGAGATGTTTGGAGGCTATAGGGTCCCACTAGCCTATATTAGAGTGATTAAGGACACGCGTGATGGAGCCAAGACTAGTAGGTAGTCGAGCATTTCTCTTTGTTTTACTCAGTTCGCTAGCATTAGTGTTAGTATGATATCCTTCTATTTGGCTTGTACTAACTAGAGTTTAACTTCTTTCTTGACTTCGATATTTTTTAATCTTGTTGTTATTCCTACTTGTTTCCACCTTTTTCTCTTCTCTTCTTTCATGCGTTCTCCAGCCGAGTCTATCGGAAACAACCTCTCTGCCCTTCCAGGGTAGGGGTAAGGCTGCACACATCTTACTCTCCCCAGACTCCATTTGTGGAAAATTACTAGGCTTGTTGTTGTTGTTATAATTTCATGACCCAAACCCCATAATAGGCTGTGATGACGCTCAATGATATGTCAGGCAAGCCAACGCATGTACCTCCAACCTAATTATCTTTTTTAACTTTTTAAATTAGAAATTTCATTAGCTAAATAGAATTAAATCTAGTACTCATGGAAACATACGTTCTTCTTTACCAAAATACCGAGTATGAATAATACATAAAATGAAATGTTAATAATATTAGGTATAACTGTGAATATCTACTAGAAACCCCAAAAATCTAGTGTCACAAGTACATGAGTAATCTAATAGAACATACAAAACTACTACAACTACCGTCTGATATAAAATAGACAGAAACAATAAATATGATAAGAGGGAGAATTTAGGTGCCGTAGATCGAAGCATGTAGGGCAGCTCACCACTAAGTCTTCGTAAAGTGCATCTACGCGCCTCTATGACCACCTGAAGTACCTGTCTCAATACCTATACAATTAGTGCACAAGTGTAATATGAGTACGTAAATTAATGCGTACCTAGTAAGTATCTGGTCTAACCTCGAAGAAGTAGTGACGGGGGGTCGACTTCGACACGTACTAGTAGTTAGATAATAAAGTACATAAAGTAGGAAAGTATGAAACATAATAAGCAGCAACGATACAGATAAACATTAATAATAAATTCCCAAATATGAATTATTATGAAATTACTAAAATGCCATAACCTGCCTCGAAGGCACAAGATCAATTGATACCACTACCAAATTAAATCTCAAGTACTACGTATGATTCTGCCGAGGCGAACATCCTGATCCCATAAGAATAGTATTACATAATACTGCCAAAGCGAATAACCCAATCCCATAAGAGTAACTCAACATACTGCCGAGGCGAACGACCCGATCCCATAAGAGCAATTTACCGAGGCAAACGACCCAATCCCATAGGAATAGTTTGTAATCCTATCGAGGGAAACAACCCGCTAATCATAAGAATATAGAAATTCTCTCACTCGCGAAATACCTGCGAGTCGAGAAGACACAGAACTATGGTTCATCAAATATTTCACAATTCCAAAGCAAGAGACTCGGTCAATGTAACGACCCGACCGATCATTTTGTGTATTTGAGCCCCATTTCCTCTTACGAAGCTCCCCATATGTGATTTATTGTTTTATGGCTTGTGGGGATGGTTGGTTTCGTTTTGGGAAAGTTTTGGAATGATTTGGACCCTTTGGTTCTTGGTTTAGAAGTTTAAGTTGGAAATGTTGACCTAGGTTTGACTTTTATGAAAACGACCCCAAAATGGTATTTTGATGGCTCTGATAGGTTTGTATCATGATTTTGGACTTGGGCGTATGCCCGAAATTGAATTCAGAGGTTCCTAGGTTGATTTGACTTGTTTTGCCGAGAGTTGGCAATTTGAGGTTTAAAAATTCCTTAGGTTTAACCATAGGTTGAATTTATGGCTATCAGATTCGTATTTTGGTTTTAGGATTTGGAATAGGTTCATTTTTGTATTTGAAACTTGTCTGCAAAATTTGATGTCATTCCGAGGTGGACTGATGGGATTCAGACGCTTGGTTGTGATTCTAGTGATTCTTGAGTTTCCTTTTGAATTTCATACATTTTGATGTCCGATTCATGGTTCCAGATATTATTTTGGTGTTTTAAACATGCGAATGAGTTCGTATGATGTCTTTAGACTTTTATGGATATTTGGTATGGAGCCCTGAGGGATCAAGTGAGTTTCGAACATATTTCAGATTGGTTTGAACTCATTTTTAGGTTGCTGGTATGCTGGTGCTCCAGTTATCGTATTTGCGAGCACTAGCATCGCAATTGCAAAGTATTCAGGGAGGGATCAAGTATCGCATTTGTGATGCCTTACTCATAATTGCAAAGTTTGGGCTTAGGCTGGGTAGGTCGCATTTGGGAAGGGACAAATTTCACAAATGCGACATTTCCCTGGGCTATCAGGCGCCACATTTGTGAGTCATTGTTCGCATTTGCGAGGGTTTGCAATTGTGAACCCAGGGTCACAATTGCGGCTCCGGAATCTCGACCTAAGGGCTGGAAAAACATGACTTTGTCTCTTGGGTAAGTGTTTTTAATCAATTTTCAATTATATTACATGATTATTTATGATTTTTAACCTTTAATCTACGAGATTTGAAGAGAAATTTTGGGGAATTTTTTCTATGTTTTGAAAAATAAAAATTTGAGATTTGAGAGTTGAATTGGACTCGAATTTGAAAACAAAACACATATATGGACTCGTGGGGATTATGGGTAGTTGAGATCTACCCGTGGACTCGAGTTTTGACCAGGCGGACATGGGGTTGATCTTTGTTGACTTTTAGGAATTGTGTAAAGATCTTAGCTTTATTAATCGAAATTGGTTTCTCTTGAATTTTTTGATTGTATTTAGTCGTTTTTGGTTAGATTTGAGCCGTGCGGAGGAGAATTTTAAGGGAAAAGCCATTTTTGATTGTTGATTTGGCCTAGTTGAGGTAAATATCTTGCTTAACTTTGTGTGGGGTAGCTACCCCATAGGATTTGGTTAAATTGCACTATTTGAATTACGTGAAAGACGTGTACTGGAGGTGCGGAGTGTGTACATAACCTTATATATGAAATTGATCGATTTATACTCTTAGGTTACGTTTATGCATTTAATTAAGTTGTTATTACTTGTTACATCTATCATTGTTGAGTTCATTCTTATATGGCTTAATTGAAGTTGTTATTACATGTTCTATTTTCATTAATGAAGTTACTCTTATATGCATTTAGTCATAGGTTCTATTACATGCTATCTCTTTTATTGTTGGGTTTATATTATGCATTAGAATTGAAGTTGCCATTTCATGGAGATATCTTCCATTGGAGTTTATCGAAGTTGTAGTTATTGAGAGCTAGTAACATGTTTTAATTGAATTGTTATTTTATGGAGTGTCTTCCATTGTTGAGTTATTTTCCGTTCATTTTGTTATTATTGAGATTCTTGTACACATTGTGGTTGAGCCGTGTGCTATGTGTTATGGTGATATTGATATTGTTGTCTTGGAAATATTATGGCATATGAGCACGCGTGGTGCGAGTTGGTTATTGTGTTGTGATGTGATGTGCATGCGACAGTATAAAAGTGGTGATATTGGTGCTCATGCAGCGAGATAAGGTGGGATTTATGCGCGTGCTGCTAGTAAGGGAAATTACTTATAGCCACACAGTGAGATAAGGGGGCTAAAGCCCGTGAAGCTATTTTGAAAAAAATATTTTTAAAATAAATGCAAGGCTCACGCGGTGATATAAGGAAGATTGTGATTATGACTTGTGAATGTGCATATAAGGTGTGGTACCTCGATGTGATTCTTGTTGTACATTTTATGTTGGAACGACATGTTGATTTGAATGATTATTGTTTTTCCTTAAATCATTTCACTTGTATTTTGACCATATTTGATCATTTGTTGTTTTTACCATATGTTCACTCTTTGATGTTGTTATCTCTTTTACACCCGTTATTAACCTTATATTGATAATCTACTTTATTGTTATTTATTGCTTTTACTTCCTATTATTAGATTATATTAATATGTTGTTTAGGTTTCTATGTCTAGTAGGTATCTTGACCTGATCTCATCACTACTCCACCAAGGTTAGGCTTGATACTTACTAGGTACCATTGTGGTGTACTCATGCTATGCGTCTGCACATTTTTGTGCAGATCCAGGTACTTCTGCTAGTGCCGGACGCCAGTGAGTTGACTTATTCATTTTAGAGACTTCAAGGTATACCTGCTTGATGCTCACAGGCCATAGAGTCACCTTCTGATATTGTCTTTACTACTGTTTATCTTCATATCAAAACATATTGTATGTAGAGATTCCTAGTGTACTTTATTAGAACTTATGACTTCGTACCACCGATTTTGGGGATGACTTTTGTTCCATTTTGGTTTTATTATGATAGTTATCAGCTTAATTTACTATCTTAGTCGTTACTTCTGCTAAATTCTCAATGTGTGTTAGGCTTACTTAGCCTTAGAGTCTAGGTGCCTTCACGACTATAAAGCTATTAAGAAATTCCACTTCTTTGATTCCTTATCGTGCGGATTTGTTGATTTCGAAATCTGAGCCTTTGTCTTTCTATTCTCTCACAAATGGTGAGGATGCGCATCGCTGGATCAGCTGAGCAGACACCTGCTGCCCCCTTCTAGAGCTGCGAGAGGCCGGGGCGAGGTAGAGGCTGAGGAGGAGCACGTGCTACAGCTAGCGTACCTAACCGAGTAGCGATTGAGGAGCCACAAGTAGCTCTAGTTGGGGGACAGGCACCCAAGGCGCTTGTTGCTACCCCTGGACTCTGTTACACCAAAATCCTAACTCTATCTATCTTCAAGCATAATATCTTTTGATTGCTTTTGAGTTGATCGGCTTCGTGCTGAATCTTCCATCCATTTCTGCCAAGATTAGAGCTCCAACGGATAGTGCTCTGTGGACCACGTAAGGACCTTTCCAGTTCGGTGCAAACTTCCCTTTAGCTTCTTCTTGATAGGGAAAGAGTTTCTTCGAAAACCAACTGCCCCGTGTGAATTGGCGAGGCTTCACTCTTTTGTTAAATGCATTGTCCATCCTATTCTGGTATAGCTGTCCATGGCATACTACATCCATTTTTTTCTCGTCAATGAACATGAGTTGTTCTTGCCTAACCCGTATCCACTCTACGTCGTCCAATTTTGCTTTTTTAATGACTCTTAAGGACGGTATTTCGACTTCTGCGAGTATCACTGCTTTGGTGCCATATACTAACATGTACGGCGTTGCCTCACTAGATGTTCTCATAGTAGTCCGATAACCCAACAAAGCGAAGGTCAACTTCTTTTGCCATTGTTTGTGATTGTCCACTATCTTTCACAGAATACTCTTGATATTCTTGTTAACTGCCTCGACTACCCTATTCATTTGTGGTCTGTAAGCTGTGAAATTGCGGAGGACAATTCTGAACTTATCACATATTTCCCTTATGAGGTCTCTATTAATATTAGCGGCATTGTTAGTGATGATGGACTCAGGTATCCCAAATCTGCAAATGGATTAGGGTTTGGGGAGTGAGACTAGTTGGTCACTGAGTTAAAACGAGGAGAAGAGATCTGGGCTATTGGATCATTTGATCAAAGACCTTGATAAATCGGGGCATTATTTATTTAAGAAAAATAATTTTAGGAAAGTATGAGGACCATTGGATCTATGTGATCCAACAGCTGAGATAATTTTTGATAGTGGGTCGAGATTAAATGGAAAATAGGGATAATTCATGACCATTGATGATTTGAATCAACGGTTCTGATCGCTTGTGTTTGTTTTTTGAGTGGGATCAACGGGTGACGTGTTAGGTCGTGATTGGTTGAGAGGTAATAGCAAGGATTGCCAAGTTGGAAGGGATGGGGTGTTTGGACCGGGTTGTTTTCTGGATTGGGCTGTACATTTGGGCTAAAGTAATTTAATAAATAGCTATTTTATACTTAGTTATTGCAATTGTAGCCTTTTAGTTTTAAACCCCCTTTCAAAATCAATTTAAATAAACTTAGCAATTTTAAAAATGTAATAAAATTATAATTACTATATGTTTCTAATTATTTGAGTTAATTATCTATAAATGACACTTATTTAAATTATATCACTGTATACGGCCAAAATCGAAAGAGTTCGACTTCGGGGTTATCGTAGCATTTCATGCCCGTCCTCGAGGAGCTCGAAGGAGAATTTGGAGTATGCCCCCGAGGTGCTTCCCTCGAGGTAGCACATCGGAGGTCAATTTCGGAGCAGCACAAATCAATGACCGTCATGAAAAGGCGGGAAAACTCCCAAAGACACGTGGTTAGAGCTGACCAGGTCTGCAAGAATAGTACAAATCCGTACTAAGTCATTATACAACTGTACCAGTAGCATTTCCTCGTCATTATTATACATGTACTATGTTGGGATTCCTCCTCATATATAAAGGGAACCCTTGTCATCTTGTAAGGGGATTCAGATCATTACACGACATATTGAATACAATACAACATTCTTTGCTCTTTGCTTAAACAATTGATTCTTCATATTTATTGCATATTCTTTCATTGTTCATTTATTGTTCTTCATTTATTGATCATTATTAACCGCAAAAGGCCGTCTTTGAGGCCATCATTATCGTTGATCCTCCATCGATCGCTCATCGCTATTAGCCCGTCTAGACCTCGAGGCCCCGCTCCAGCCAGCTAAAGGCCCAACATTATAAACCTTTTGGTTTGCATTTCTTATTTCCTTTACTTACGCTTAGCATCTACTGCCTAAAAACTAGTATAAAAATAAATCTATTTTTAGAACCACAAATCAAATATAATTGTAGTTACATTTTTAAGGTAAACAATTTGGCGCCCACCGTGGGGCTAAAAATAATAGTGATTGTTTTGATGCTTGTTTTCTAATAACACACGTTACTCTTTACGCTTTTTCTTGACAAAGATTCTTTGATTTCAGGCTTAATCATGTCTAGCACACAAAATGCACCTCTTCACAACAGTGAAGAACTTGGGGAAAATAGAGACATAGGGCTGGGTGTACCACTTGTAAACCCCGAAGGAGTACCAAACATTGAGCAAGCTGATATCAGTTCCCACAACGTTCTAAACACGAAAGTAGGCACAGACCCCATAAGGAACGGACGCAGGGAAGACCAGGCTAGAGGCCAAGAAGTACGAGGAGTGGAAAAGGAGGAGTCAGACTCCAAGTCATTTTTAAATGTTGCAAGCACAACAAGTGGCTATTGATCAGCTGCAAAGTCAACAAAAAACCCCAAGCACAGTAGCACCGGAGACGGCTCATCGAGTCGAGCAAGTACTGGAGAGATCAAGCAACAACGGGTCAGCAAGAGACCCTACTATTATGAAGATGCTCGAGGACCTCACCAAAAGAATTGAATAATGAGAAAAGAAGATAGAAGATAATGACAAAAGGGTGGAGACATATAACTCGAGGGTCGATCAGATCCCCGAGGCACCCCCATTATAAAGGGTATAGATTCAAAGAAGTTCGTGCAGAGGCCATTCCCATCAAGTGCATCTCTGAAGCCCATCTCGAAAAAGTTCAGAATGCCCAATGTCCTGAAGTATAATGGGACCACGTACCCTAATAAGCATATTACCGCTTATACTTGTGCCGTAAAAGGGAACGACTTGAAGGACGACGAAATTGAGTCCGTCTTGTTGAAGAAATTTGGAGAAACACTGTCGAAGGGGGCTATGATGTGGTATCATAACCTGCCCCCAAATTCAATAGACTCATTTGCCATGTTGGCGGATTCTTTTGTGAGGGCACATGCTGGTGCCATTAAGGTTGCCACCAGGAAGTCCGATGTCTTCAAAATCAAACAGAGAGAGAACGAGATGCTAAGGGAATTCATATCTCGCTTTCAGATTGAGCGAATGGAATTACCACCAATCTCTAATGACTAGGCAGTATAGGCCTTCACTCAAGGCTTGAACGAACAAAGCTCGGTATCTTCAAAGCAATTAAAATCGAATATCCCGCCATGACCTGGGCGGATGTGCACAACAGGTACCAATCAAAGATCAGGGTCGAAGACGACTAACTAGGAGCCCCCCCTGGGATCAGTATATCACAACAGGATCTTTGCAAAGGAGCAAAGGTTTACAGAAAGGGAGCCAAGATCAAACAAAAAAAGATACCAGCCATAGGTACATGATCGAAGAAACGCACCAAGGCATAACATGCCTCGAGGCGATCGAAGGGTAGATCAAGGTCAAAATTCCCGAGGGCTCATGGATAAAGTCGGGTTCGATTGGTACACCGGGCCGGTAGAGGCACCCCGACTATCTGAGTAAAACTTCAACGTTGATGTCTCTGGCATCGTTTTAGCCATAAGGAAAATCAAAGATGCTAGGTGGACAAAACCCGTATTATCGGACCCTTCACAGAGGAACCCAAACTTGATATGTAAGTATCACGGCACTCACGGTCATAGGACCGAGGATTGCAGGAAGCTTAGAGAGGAGGTAGCCCGTTTGTTCAACGAAGGACATCTTCGTGAGTTTCTCAGTGACTGGGCTAAGAACCATTTCCGAGAAAGAGATGCAAACAGGAAAACAAACCAAAAGAACCATAGCATGTCATCCACATGATCGTTGGAGGGGTTGACGTCCCACAAGAACCCATTTTCAAGCGGACAAAGATATCCATCACCAGGGAAAGGCGAACTCGGAGTTACATACCAAAGGATGCCCTCACGTTCAACAAAGAGGACAATGAGACCTTGTCTTAGCCTCATAATGACGCACTAGTAATTTTTTTTTCTTTTGAATAAAATTCATATTAAACGTGTGCTCGTGGATCTAGGTAGCTCAGCTAGCATATTCAGGTCGAGAATGGTAGAGAAGCTTGGACTGCTCGACCAGATCGTACTCGCCTCTCGAGTCCTCAATGGATTTAACATGGCGAACGAGACAACAAAAGGGGAAATCATCCTCCCGGTCAATGTAGCCCGAACAATCCAAGATACCAAGTTTCACGTCATCGAAGGCGACATGAGATACAATGTCTTACTTGGAAGGCCGTGGATACACAGTATGAGGGCGGGCAGTACCCTCAACCCTTCATCAAATGATGAAGTTTCCAACCAAGAATGGTGTAAAAGCAATGTACACGGAACAACATGCAGCAAGAGAGATGTTCGCGGTGCATGACACAACGCCAACATCTATG